AAAAAAAAAAAAAAAAAAAAAAAAAAAAATCCCCCAAAAAATATGTTGTGTAGGATTGAAATACAAACGACTTTTGGCTGAGGGTCACATTATAATTCCTCACAGAATCGGAGGTAAGAAAAGAAAATAACAGAATCACACAAAGGCACCTCCAATATCCCATGCCATATGCCTCGTAGAAATCTGAGGGCCGACCTGGCCGCCCTCAGCCAGGCCAAAAACGAGGTAAGGGACCCCACACAGGGATTCAGGGCCTGGGCGTGCCACAGTTGAATTTCGTCAACTGTCCCGACCCCAACAGTCAAAGTCCAAAGGTACCCAGTCCAGGCCACCGGTCAAGCACACACACTTGTTTGTATGCAGGTACCCAGACAGCATCAAGTCCAAGGGGAAATTCTGCAACTGTACAATCCAGGCCTCGAGACCAGAGAGCCTCGTCAAACACTACTTAACGTTTAACCTCGAGGTGGTCAGCATTCAGTCTTGCTATGCTGATTCAACGCCGGCTTGACTTTGACTTGACGCTGGCATTATGCTAGCGCGACGCTGGCTAGACGCTGGCGGTGCATCAGAGCTGCGGATGACGACACAGCATGCTGGCATTGTTCGCCAGGCATGCTGATGTGGCGCTACCTGTGGTCTTCATGGCATGCTGATGTGGCGCTGCCTCTGATATACGTGGCGCTGCCTCTGGTCTATGTGGCGCTGCTATTTGTCTTCATTGATGATGTGGCATATGCCACCTGTCTTGGTTGCTGAAGTGGCATTGTCCACGCTGTCTACATGAGGTGACTGGTTGCGATGAAGAGGAAAAGATCAGGACTGTGGAGAGATCGTGAATACATACCTGGTTGTCTTCATGTTGACATTGTTCCGGTGCTGATGAGGGACTAATTAGACGTGCCACGAGGCACATTGCAAATACTCGTTCAGACTGTCGATTATTGAGATGGTGTGGTGTTGGAGGAGGGAGCCCGAACAACAAGAGGACGGTACCATCGTAATTGGGGAATGTAGCATTGTTTCAATTTTCAAACTTCCAAAACTTTTTCTCAACTCTTTTGGGAGTGGACAGCATGAAGGAAAGCTCTTTTTTTGTTGCGAGCTTACTTGCACTTGCAGACGTGGGGGCCCAAACAATCGCCGTGCCCGCTGCACATCGTTTGGCTGTCGCAGAAGAATGAACAGTCCCTTGCGGTCCACGGCTCCTGGCAGACACATGCCCCCTCGTTGGCACTGCAGGTTCCATGGTTATTGCAATCGCTATCGGAAGCGCACCTTTGCTGAATCCAAGGGAGGAGAACGGACGCGACAATCTCCACTTCCCCGGCGCAATCTTTTGTCCAAAAAGCGTTTTCTTTCCCGTCTTCTGGACTGCAAGCGACACCAGGCAAACGAATGGAAACATTTCAATTGTGAATGTCCACAAATTTCCAGTCATTTTTTTCCCAATTCCAATGACTTCTCCTGACGATTTACCTTTCATGAAGTTTACTGATTTCAATCTATATATCTGACATCCGCTATTTACATATTTCTGAAAGGTTACCTCACAACACCCGCCGCCGTGATATGCAATCACGTACTTTGTGTACTTTTTATGTACACTTTGCAATCCAATCCAATGGTAATTGTGTACTGCTCATCTTGGTTTGGTGTGTTCTGCTCATCTTGATTGTATCAGCCTCCATCCATCTCAGAAGAAGCAGCAATCCATGTTGATGATCGCAGTGGGATAGTGTCGGAAGCCTCAAGGCGTTGTCAAACAGTGACAGACTCATGTTCAAAGGGGAGGGAGGGAGAGAGGGAGGGAGAGAGGGAGGGAGAGAGGAAAGAGGGAGGAACGGGCAGGAGGGCGGAGGATCATCTCAGTTGAAACTAAGTCACTGTTTGGCAACGCCGTGAGATATCCCCCGCCCTGCCCGTTCCTCCCTCTTTCCTCCCTCCCTCCCTCCATCCCTACATCCCTCTCTCCCTCCCTCCCTCTCTCAAGGAGTGTACAGAAGAAGCAGTGATCGATGTTGATGATCGCGGTGGGATAGTGTTAGAAGCCTCAAGGCATTGTCAAACAGCGGCAAAATCATGTTTAAAGGGGAGGGAGAGAGGGAGGGAGGGAGGGAGGGAGGGAGGGAAGAACGGGCAGAGACGAGGATAAGAAGGACGGAGCGATGATAATGGTATTGGCAGGAGGGAGGTTTTTTTCTTGGGTCAAGACTGTGCATGACTAAACGAGCAATCATCTGTTTTTGAAAGTTGTGGTGTGGCTGAAAAATGATCCTTCGAATGCGTACCATTTCTTAGGTACATTGCAGATCTCAATCTGCTCCACACTCCCAAGCCCATCATTTTTTTCTTTTCTGTCTTTTTTGTTGCTCTTTAGCTTCTTTCTTTTCGGTTTCTGGTCATCCTCATTCTCGTCGTACTGGTGCCCATCTCCATCATCATGATCACCATCACCGTCACCTTTCCCGGCGTGTGATTTACCCTTTTCAGCCACCCTCAGGATCTTGGAGTCTGCAGCGCCAACGGTGTGGATGCCCTCGACCTCGAGTGTTTGCACGTTAACGACCGGCGAGCCGCTGTTTCCTTGGAAAGCGTCGATGGTCGCACAGAAAAACAAACGGAGATTGCACTCGGCAGAAACCAATTGATTGGATCCATCCAGCACCTGCGGCAAATGCACAGAGAGCCAAAAGATTAATCACTGATATGGTACAATTCTGGTCAGCTCGCAATGCAAAAACTCAAAGATGATTCAGATGAGACACTCAAATGAAAGAAGAATGAGACAAAGGAAGAAGAAGAAGAAGGAAGAAGACGAAGAGGAAGAAGACGAAGAAGAAGAAGAAGAAGAAGAAGAAGAAGAAGAAGAAGAAGAAGAAGAAGAAGAAGAAGAAGAAGAAGAAGAAGAAGAAGAAGAAGAAGAGGAGGAGGAGGAGGAGGAGGAGGAGGAGGAGGAGGAAGAGGAAGAGGAGGAAGAAGAAGAAGAGGAGGAAGAAGAAGAGGAGGAAGAGGAGGAAGAGGAGGAGGAAAAGGAAGGAAAGAAGGGAGAAGGAAGAAGAAGCAGAAGGAAGAAGAGAGAGGAGATAAGAAGCAGAAGGGAGAAGGGAGAAGGGAGAAGAAGCAGAAGGAAGAAGAGAGAGGAGATAAGAAGCAGAAGGGAGAAGGGAGAAGGGAGAAGAAGCAGAAGGAAGAAGGGAGAAGGGAGAAGGGAGAAGAAGGAAGAAGAAAAAGGAGAAGGGAGAAGAAGGAAGAAGGAGAAGGAAGAAGAAGAAGAAGAAGAAGAAAAAAAAGAAGAAAAAGAAAGAGAAGGGAGAAAAGGAAGCAGGAGGAGGAGGAGGAGGATGGCGACGATGACGACGAAGAAGAAGAAGAAGTAGAAAAGCTGGGACCAATGTCATCTCTCCTCCGTCTCGCCTCCAACATCTCACCCCTCGTCAACACCTTCCACCATATAATTAATAATAACAAGCAACGACAATGAATGAATGAGCCGGAATCAATGTCTGATTGGGCCCCCTTACCACCATGGAATTGCTTTCCTTCCATCTTTTGCAGTGAAAGTTGGAGAGCTGTGTGATGGGCGACCATCTCACACGGTTCGGGGATTCTTGACTCTAGTGTGAAGGCACCTTGCGAGAGAAACCCCGCCTGGACCTTATCTTCCCTGGCTGGAACATCCAAGGCTCAAAGGACAACACACATGCTCTATCGCCAAGCCTACTCTCCCGGATGACGTCCATACCCAACCGGTTCTCTCTGAGGGGTCTTCTTGACATACCAGGAACCCCTTGGAGATGAAGATGCAAGTCCACCATAGCCAAATGAGTCTTCTTCCCGGTTCCCAGTTCCCACCTCCTTCCTCCTTCCTCTACCCCTACACTACACCATAGCCTGGCTAGAGGTCCTTCTCCCTCACCTCTATTGCCTGGGACTGATCCTACCTCGCTCCATTACGCACCTACCCCTCAGGGGTCTTCTTGATGTAGTGCCAACCTTGGAAGAAGATGCAAGTTCACCATAGCCTTCTGGGTTCCCACCTCCTCCCTCCTTCCTCAACCCCTACACTACACCATAGCCTGGCTAGAGGTCCTTCTCCCTCACCTCTATTGCCTGGGACTACCACTACCTCTCCCTACTACCAACCTCCATAGCCAAGGAGGTCTCCAGCTCCACCATCAACCTCCAGGAGCTCAACCACTTCGCCCTCTTGGCGGAGCAGCAGCATGACCGCTGGACCACTCGTACTTTGGCTTCCCTGCCTGCAGTACCTCTCGACCAGCGACTACATGCCGGTACCCGGCCTCCCCTTGGGCACACGTGGTTAACGGGGACCCCCAGTTTCATCTCCTGACTAACAGGTCCAAAACTGAAATTAGGGTTTGGGGGTCAAATTTTATGTCTTTCTTTTTTTTTTTTGCCTGTTTTTGTTTTGGTTCAAGGTTGTGTACTAAATTTGGTCGCATTCGAAAATCAGGGCTTCCATTAACCGCCTCTCCCCTTGGGTGCCCTAGGCCTATCGGGTGTTCCCCGCTTTTTGCGGGAACATCGTTGCAGACTGATACCTACCTACACACCTTGAACCCTATAGACTTCTAATGACCTACATTCAGCTGCTGGGCCCAGACCCGGACTCCGGCAAGCCCACACCACACATAAGGTAAGTGAACATAACAGTCCGAAGCAGACATGATTACTGGTTCTGGTCTCGTCCTGCCAACCTTAGTACACGAGGACGTTTTACGGTCACATCCTACTGCGTCAGTCTGGGTAGCTGAAACATCACCGCATCAGTCTCTAAGGGAGAAGAGGTTAATAGAGGCCTAAATAGTAAATTTTCAGGGTTTTAACTTTTTCAACTTTTTCGGAATTCTTTTCCCTAAATGCAATTTTCAGTGTTGGGGAACTTCGGGGTGTTAACCTGGGGGGGGGGCCTGAAAAGGGTTTTAACCTGGGGGGGTGCAATTTTCCCTGTTACCACTTGTGCCAAAAGGGCCCAATTTTTCAGTTTGGGGGGTGTTAACCTGGGGGGTTGCTGAAAAGTGGGGGTCCCTGTTACCACTTGTGCCAAAAGGGCCCAATTTTCAGTGTTGGGGGTGTTAACCTGGGGGGCGGGCCCTGAAAAGTGGGGGTCCCCATTACCACTTGTGCCAAAAGGGCCCAATTTTCAGTTTTGGGGGTGTTAACCTGGGGGGGGGCGCTGAGAAGTGGGGGTCCCGGTTACCGCTAGTGCCAAAAGGGCCCAAAACAGACAGACAGAGACTCAAAATCAGACTTTTGAGAAGACAGATCGGAAGACAGCGGCGGATGCATAGAAATGGCAGAAATTTCGGACATTAATTTGGGTGGGTCATTGCATGATTGCAAGGAAATCTTTTGGACTTTTACAAAGGTTTTACTACTTAGTTTAGTCACTTGTTTTCGTTCAATCGGAATTTATGAATATGAATTATTTAAAATTAATTTTAATATTTTACCTTTCCAAAGCTGTATTTCCTAGGGAGGCCCAGCGGATGGCCCACGACGACGACCTTTGTATTTCCAGGAATGCGTTGAGCTTCCGAGCGGCGAATCTTTAAGGGCACGTGATCAGTCACTGGGCGATTCAACCTGTGAAAGAAAGCAGCACCAAAAAAAAAAAAAAAGAGTGTCAAGCAGGTTACACCCTCCACGAAAAGAACTTCGGCTGTTGTGTTAATTTGTTAATCAAAACAAACACATTTAATGATTTAGTAACAAATGCTTTTAAAAATTAAAAACTTGCAAGAAATATGAGCGAGAGCGATAAACAGAAAACCAAGGGCAAGGAAAATGAGCAATAGCGAGATGACAGATTCCAGATTGCACAATCACATTGAAAGCCAGAAAAGTCCCACACTGTCCAGAAAGCAGAATTGCACCAACATTACACCAATGGAGAACCGAAACACCGAATCCAAATGTCCATGAGAGCTTACTCTCGTCATCACCCACATACGTATCCAGAGCCCTTCCTCCAACTTGGCGCTCAGCGCCCAGACTACTATCACACAGCTACTTCCTGCCTACGAATTGACAATGCAACTGTTGACGTCAGCAAGATGTCGCCTCTTGCAGACTATCTCCAATACCAGGTATGCGCCCTCATGCCATCATCCTCATCTCTCCCTCTCACTCTCTCTCCCTTGTCTTTCACCCACGTCTTCTCCCTCATGCACGAAGACCACCACTACCCCTTGCTGTTCACCCAAGCCCGGCTGGCTATGGAAGCCGAGCTATGGCGCTGCCCTCAGCAGCGCCCTCTTCACACACGACCGCACATGCACGAGCACCTTGCCTAGCGCAGCCTACAGCACGCAAGCACTCGCTCATGAATGGCAAGTGCCCGAATGAATGCCCAGGTTGCCTAGCGCAGCCTGCAGCCTGGGTGGGCTGGGCCTGTGCCCAGAAGCTTCCGGTAGGCCCCGGGTGGCTGGGCCTTAGCTGCTACTGCCCTGGGCCCCGGTTGGTTATGCCTCCCAACGGCCTGTTGTGTATACTGCCGCAGATGCGGCCCAGGGCCTGCTTCGAAGAACGGCCGAGAAGGCCGTAACGAAGTGTGGCTGGAAGTGGCCTGGGTTCTTCCAACCAACTGACGCAACGCAACTGCCTGAACCTCCAAAACAATGTGAAATTGACAGGAATGGGCCCCTCGTGATTTTCTCAGGCCCGCCTTCACTTAGGGCGGGCACATCTCAAAAATGGGGCCCGCCCTTAGGCCTGCCGAGGAGCCAAATCCTCGTACAAGTTGCAAGATCACACAGAAGTCCAGATAGTCATGTAACCAGCAGAGAGCTCAAATGCACCAAGATCCCATCCAAATAAGAGCGATACAATGAACTCGTGAGCCGATGTTCAAGCCCTCAGGCCACACCAACGCAGTATCCAATGTCACTTCTACTGCATGGCGCCCAGCGCCCAGCCTACTCTACTCTGCCTATCTATTCTATCTACATTCGTGCAACAGGCTCACTTCGCCATCGAAGACCAATGTGCATGACGTCAACACCAATGCCGACCTCCCACATACACCAGGTACGTTCTCTCGTCTCCCCCTCATCACCCCTTGGTCCCCACACCTCATGCGCCTCCTACCCGAAGGCCACTTTCGCCATCACCTGCCTTCGCACCCCTGCAGGCCAGCTATGGCTGCTGTGCGCCCCGCTGCCCTTGCAGCGCCCCTCACCTCAGCGCCCGTGCGCGCGCCCGGCCAGCCAGCTAACGCAGACACCAGCGCTGTAGCGCAGCAGCATAGCCACATTGCCTGCTAAGGCCTGAATACCCTTCCCTTGCTGGCCTTCTCCCTATATGGGAATCACTGCCCTCTGCCAGCCAGCTAACGCAGACACCAGCGCTGTAGCGCAGCAGCGTGTCCACATTGCCTGCTAGGGCCTGAATACCCTTCCCTTGCTGGCCTTCTCCCTATATGGGAATCACTGCCCTCTGCTGGCCTCTCTGGGCCTGGCTGAAGAAGTTTCCAGTAGCTTCCCGTTGGGCCCCAGTGTCTGCGCCCAGGCCCAAGTCTACGTACGGTTGAGGGCCTGGGCCCTTTGCAGTTGGGCACACCCAGGATTTTCCAGCCTCCAAGTGTTTTTCCAGGCTCCAAGTGTTTGCTGTGTTTGCATTGGCCCGCGGGTAGGTGTGACGGCAATGCTGCATTCTCATTGGCCTGCAGCCACTTCGTGTTGTGTCAGCCTCACGCTGCGCCCAGGGCGCAACCACCTGCGTCCTGGGCTCAACTGTTTGACGCAGCTGCTGCTTCTGGAAAGAGCCCAGGGAGAGGCCCAGATTGCACTTCAACCAACTGGCGTGCAGCAACTGTCTGATACCCACATTGGAAAATGTTGAGATAAGGGCCTCTCGTGGATATTCAGGCCCGCCTTCACTTAGGGCGGGCACGGGGCTGCCTTGGGGCCACAGTCCAGAAATGCATCTTGTCTAGGGCCCCATGAGGACACATTCGTTCTCTTTTTGGTTTTGTCTTTTTTTTTTCTTTTTTTTGCCAACAAAAAGTCATATTACCAGGGCCAAAAGAGGCCGGGGACCTCACAATTCGACCCGCAGTTTTCTTGGCAGCATCAGCCAGTTTAGCTTACGAGCATTTGCTCGCCCAATTCCTCCAGAAACACTGCCGAACCAGGGAGGCCAAGAAAGATCTAGGAACAGAAAAACGCCAATTCAAGGCAGCTGTCCTGAAATCTCAGCCATGAGGACACATTCCTCACAAACGTATTTAAATACCAAAAATCAAAAGATTCTAACTTCGGAGTGTTTTGGAGGAGTCTTGGTGGCACCTTTTATTTATTTAATATTATTTATTTATTTATTTATTTATTTATGTTTGTCTTGGGACCTTTCCCACACAATCAGGGAAGCAATACCTTCGCAAACTTTTGCCTGTGTAAGATCAGGCGTGTAGCCACTATGCTCATACCACTCCTCCTACCGTCCTCCCCCGAACACAACACACCCTCATTTTGGCGCACTGGACCGACAAGATAGGTTGTATACATTCGTTATCAGGGCGCGTTGTGATTTGGGGAGACGGTCGTAGGCCGAAGTGGGAATTAAAAAAAAAAAAAAAGGATCAGGAGCAGTCGTCTCCTTTCTGATAATCACAGTTTAATATATGTATCCATGGTCCATCCGGCCACAAAGATAGTATATTTAACAAAAAAAAAAAAAAAAAAAAAAAAAAAAAAGACCAGACACTCATCTTTTTCATTTTCATTTAAGAATATTACGATAGAGTCCGCAGTGCGCTTCAGGTGTGTAAGGTCCCAATTGGACTTGGGATCTGTACATGTGCTGGTAAGTACGTCAGTAATCAACGTAAATAGTAAATAGTAAATAGTAAATACAGAGACGATGTTGGTGCTTCATGCCTGCCTTGGTGGAACCTGTGAGCCTTTTTTTTTTTTTAAATTAAAAGTAAGCTATACTCTTCTCTCATCTATATCATCTTCTTGGTCATAGGCACCTATCTCATCCTCTCACTAGACCTGTGAACCATTTGAATCTCTGGATTTTTGAATGGGGCAGAGGGGCTCGGAGTACCTTTATTTACAGCAGCAGCATAGCGATTAAAAGGCTGCGAAGAGCTCGTCTGGTTGTGTAGACAGGACAGCAGACAGGACGGAGCCTAAGGGCCTCGCTCCACTACTCACCACATGCAGCAAAGACACAAAACATGGCGGCGACGCGGCGTATCTTTCCATCTTCTAGCGGAAGATGCATTCTCATGTTGCACATTTGGTGAGTGGCAGAGCGAGGCCCTAAATCGATGGACTTGAAAGAGCACATTGCAAAAAAAAAGGGCGTGACAAGGTGAAATGCCTACGACATTCACACTCACTAATAACTCAATAAGCTCAGTTCTTCTCTTTTCTTTTTTTTCTTTTTTTCTTTTTTTTTTTTAATTCAATCATCGTTCAGGCCCAGGTCCTCTATCCCTTGGGTGGTAAGAGCCCCAGAGGATAGAAGCCGGCAAGGTTCCGATGGCTCCTTTCTATTGGTGGGGAGCTGCACCTGCTGGAAACCGGGTCCAGCGTCCCTTCCAATGGATAAATCATCAGGTAAATTCTCAAAGTTCAGAAACTCTCTGCGCTAACAGCACACAATGGGACCTCTTCACCCTAAGGCGTCTGAAATGAGTTAGCATCTAGTCCCACTACCCACTGCACCCAGACTTGTAACAACCAATAGCTCAACAACTGAAGAGCAGACCCTAGATAATTAACAACATAACTTGAGCAAGCCGATCCTTTTGGCAACTGCCTTTGATTCCATCAATAACATTTCCTGGAGCTCTGCGACTCCTCAGCCAAGGTTCAATGATCTCTCTGTTCAATGACTCAATGATGATTCAATGATGTCTCTCTCTCTCTCTCTCTCTCTCTCTC